GCGAGGCGGTCATGGAGCAGCTACACTCCGATAATACCGCATTGATAAGTTTGGTACATGGACAAAGAGAATTCATTTCCCGGGTATTTCTCTTTCGAGATTTGTTCGTACCCCCAGCCTGATAGTACAACTCGCCGATATGATTATCGGAGCAACCTATCTTGTGCTGGCATAATTCTCCCATTCTAACGTCGTCGTCTTCTGACGAACATAGCTCTCTTTGAGGGTATAACACCCTGTCATCATTCTCAAGAGTCACTCGTTTGGAACCACGCCTTCGTGCGCGTGAGGACCCAACGGGCTCTTGGACTTCAATTCGCAATCCTAGGCGAGTGGTTATCGGAACTTTCTCCGCAAGAGGGATCTTTGACTTACTGGGGAATCGCGTACAACCCCCAGTCTGACGAACCATACGGGGTCCATTTGCTTGAACTAGGTGTTCTTTAATTGGAACTTTGACTTGATTTCCATGCAAAGGACCGAGACGATCCGTAATCTTCACTTTGAATCGGGACAAGTCCACGCTGTCGTAAGGTTCTACCGAAGGTGAGGAAGTCATCAGAACAGGAACAGGAGCTGTCGGAGACTCGAAAACGATCGCGGGAGGCGAATTTTCTTCAAACAGGGCATGGCTGGCTCGGAGGTGGCGCGGGCTAGTGTTTGATGGCTCAGCCTGCCTTAGCCGAGCCAGCATTTGGTGGCTCGGCCCTGGCCGAGCCAGCAGCCAACAACTCGTTTTTCCGGGCCTTGTTTTGGATTTTGGCCTCCAGATTTGACGTGGTTTTGACAGTTTATTGTCTACATCGTTTGTTTGTAATTTCTTGGCTTCTTGTACCAGAATTCTTGCGTGCGCAAGTAACGCGCGGCGTTTCTGAATTCGTTCTTCAAGAGTTGAACGTGTCCTCTTAACGGGGACTCATTCATTCGTCGTTGATTTGAAACAGTTGCTCGCTTGCTGTCGTGGCGGGTGGCGTCTTCTGGACTTCAGATCCGCTTCATAGCGGACCCCATCAACTAGCTCGGAAGCTTTGGCCAACTGGCGTGCGATGCGTTGACGTCATCTTTGACGCGCTCTCTTTGATAATGTCGGCGTGTTTTCAGTAGTGGCCTCGGCTTTGTAAGGTGTGCCTTGAGCCGCTACGGTATGAGGATCTTGGTTTTGAACCTTTAGATCCGAGTGCCCCCGAATCTTCTTTGTGGAGTCTCTCCTATTCCTGCGAGGAGAGGATGATCTGGAAGATGAGGATAAGAATTCCTCATACTTTGCCTGGTCAAACTCGTACTCGACCTCTTCGTTGATCGGGATGATGATCTTTGGCTGCGACACTACAGCTCCGGCAGAAAAGCTGTCGGCTCCCACTGTGGTCGCCAGTTTGTTTTCGTCAAAAGTTGCTTTTTCCATTGCTTTCAAACCTGTTACACGGTTTATCGATTACAAGTTCAAACTGAAAGAATTGATCTTTTTATAAGATCTTCTTACAATGAAAAAAATAAAGATTATAACTTTATCAAACAAAACGCAGCAGTAGTTTATCTCCCGCTGCTTTGCGTGGGATCTTTGTCTGTGCTGGGGACGAGTTAGTCCGTGGACCACCGCAGATCAAACCCGGTTAACACTATAACTACGCTCTTGTTTCACGAAGGAAACAATTGTGGCAGCGATAATCACGACCAAGCGAGATTGTGACTCTTCTCGAGATTAAAACCAAGTTTAATCCGGAGGAAAGAAGGGGAAAGAATCACAAACCTTTCGAAGGATTTTCTTTATGAAAAATTCGCCAAGATCTGATGATTCTCCTCTGAAATTCGTGGTTAACTGGACAATTTCACAGCACCTCGCCTTCTCAACTTCAGATCCTCTTGAAAGAAGACCCTAGGCTTCTATTTATAGGCTTTTGGAGACATGTTTTCGGATAAGAATTGATGTTTAAACATTATTTGCAGTTAATAACCGCTTAAACGCGTTTAGGGATAGCCTCAAAACAGTTGGGGAGGCCCTGGGACGAAAGAATCCTTAAAAATCATCGAAATCCGCGTTTTGGGAGTCTTGGGAGTCAAAAAGAGTCGTGGTGGCTCGGGACTGTGCGAGCGACCATTTGGTGGCTCGCATATGTGCGAGCCACCATTTGGTGGCTTGCATGGGTGCGACCCACCATTTGGTGGCTCGCACTCATGCGAGTCACCATTTGGTAGCTCGCGCTTACGCAAGCCTCCGGGTGTGTTTCGTTCATCTTTTTGATACTTCGGCGATTCGTGACCCCTCAAGTTCGCTTGTTTTGCGTACTCGACGAACTCAGCTTGTGAGGCATTTATCCACTCATCATTTTGAAACTCTTCTGGCAACGGCTCTTCAGACTCTACATAGTCATTATTTACGCAATATTCATCCATCCAACTTACGTCATCATTGGTCTCTCCAATTGCACACTGCATACTATCAAGATGTTCCTCCTCTTCAGCATCTATATCCTCATCCTCATCCTCTTCTATTATAGAACCAACCGGTAAATCAACTGAAACATGACCCGGCGAGTCGTGGAACACGTCATTTGACATTGCACCCGAGTCACTTTTTAAGCGCAAGGCACTTTGAGATAACGAGATTTGATTTTCAAGCATGCGGGAGAATTCTCCGCGAGCATATGAAACTTCAGTAACCCCAGACATTTGAATATTTTCAATGAACAACTCGATTGAAATTTGTTTCTCCGCAAGTTGTATCATGTCATTCAATTCTTCATCATTGGTGATCTCTACAACAATTGTTCTTTGATCATTTATTAGACAATTACAGAAGACCTTAATGACATTTTCGACATGATTAATTCCAGTAACTCTGTATATTTGCGCCATCATTCTATCAAAATTACAATTTCTAGACAACATGAACATTTTCCTAGAGCCTCCATCGTATATAGGCATATTATTCATTCCAACATTCAGTTTTCTATTAAATAAGCAAATAATCGGTATTCCATTCGCCATTTTAACTAAAGAATTAAAATTCATCATATAAAAATTATATTTTTTTCCATACATTCAATCATAATTACATAATTCTTCTAGATATACAATATTAACTATAGGAAATTAGAGAAATTTATGAAAAAATATAAAATTTATAACTTGATGAAATTTCGGATCTCGTCGGCCTCGGAGAGAATAGACGGCGTCGGCGTCAGATTTGACGGAGGAAGAGGTGAGTTGGGAGTTGGGTTTGGGAGAAAGAGAGATCTGGATTGTTGGGTCAGGTTTGGGATAGGATGGAGATCGGGTTTGGGACGTTGATCGGCATGGGAGAGAGTGAGATAAGGTTTGGGAGAGAGGGAGATCCAGAGAAAGAGCTCGGGAAAGAGAGAGGGGGAGATCGGGAGTAAGAGAGAGGGAGAGAGAGAGAGGGAGATCACGAGAGAAAGAGAGGGAAGCGGTTGTGCCCTAATTTGGGGCACAACTGGGGTTTATGTAGTCTGCAATTCTACGGGACTACTAGTCCCGAAGAAATTACGGAGCCCACTTATTTAGACAGCAAATCCACGGGACTACTAGTCTCGTGGATTTGCTGGGCACATGCGAATATTTCTCTGCAAAATGTACGAGACTACTAGTCCCGTACGTTTTGGTAATGAACTCAAAAAACAAACGGGACTAGTAGTCCCGGGACTAGTAGTCCCGTATGTTTTCTGAGTCCACTAAGCGATGATTAAGTTGGCTCTAAACATACGAGACTAGTAGTCCTGTATGTTTTCTGAGCCTTCTTTTTCAAAATCGACCTCTTTTTTGCCTATATTTTGCTAAATATTTAGCAAAGTGGTCTATTTTGCTAAATATTTAGCAAAAGTGGTCTATTTTAAAAATTTCCCTTTTTAAAAAATATAAGAGTTGAAGGAATGCTTGCATAATAATAATGAGCAAGATAAAATATGCTTGTATAATAATAAAAATGAGAACGAATTCAATAGAAAGCAAGACAAATATGCTTGCATAATAATAATGAGAACAAATTCTTAGAGAACTAGAAAATGATAGAGTGCTACGAATTGAGAATTTAAATGAGGATATTCAACAAAAAGCAAGACAAAATATGTTTGCCTGCATATTAGATCTAGAAGATAACAATTTCTAAAGACGGATTGAATAAATTCCCCTTCCTTCTCCTTTATTTTCTAACTAGCTAGAGGTCTTCATTTCTCTCTCTAGTTGCTCGACAGACAGAGTGTTTATAGGACTTAGTCGTTTAAGGCTAAGCTGATGGTGATGGGCTATAGATCCTACGTTGCACCCTTTTGTCGCAGTTTACTGCCAATTAATTTTTGTTGGTTTGTTGGATTTTGATTTGAGGGATGATAAATTTATTTTACCGACCATGTGATTGATAAGGACTCGCGGACAATTTAGACTACAAACATGAGTTGACACGATGAGCTTGAGGGAGATTTCGGGAGAAAAGGAAAGAGTTAGGCGGAAAGGGGAGTAGGTATTACATAATGATCTAAACTTTTATGCCTAAAGCTGACTCTTTAAAACTTTTAGAATTCATAGTTGGAATGATGTAAGCCATATTTAAAATTCATGCGGGAAACTGCATTCATGCACCTGCCATAGGAAAATTTCTCATGTGTACATGGATTATAACAAGAGAGTGATACTTATTAATTGTTATATAGTCACAGCCTCATTTTTTAATGTAACTAAAACGTTATCAAGATCATAGCAAGAAAATTATTTAATTAAGCTTCTGTATCGTACACACATCTAATATCAGTATCATGTTTCAACAAGCATAACATTTTACACATAATAATACACATGGTTTCTCAATTATATTGATTCATATTTAGTATAATTTAGCAGGATGTACCATTGAGTTCATACCATTTAGGTATATATGGTTAGTGGTAAATTGGAGATTAGTTAGTGGGTATTACAGAACTAAAAGCAAACTCAATGATTTGGGGGATTATGTTTAAACTACTAAAGATTTGATGAGGCTGATGTAAAGATTTGATAAGAACAATACAAAAAAAAAGAAAGAAAAAAAGAATAGAATTTGTTATAACATCAATTAACCTGAAGTATTGATCATCCTCATGAAGCCGACACGTGTCGGATCTTAGCATCAATCATGCGAGCTCAACCCAGCCAGAGGCAACTTGGGTCACCTAGGCACTCACTCAACCTTCCAGAGCCAGGACGAGTCGAGGCCAGCTCTCATTCGACCCATCATTCGAATCGACCACCCTCATTCACTCGGCTGTACTGGCAACTTGTGAGGCTGACTAGTAAGGCGGTACTTATCGTCCCTCTCGCAAGCCGAATCAAGAGGCGATTTGACCTCGAAAGCTATGCTAATAGCTATCCATTATTTTCATCATGAATGCGACTCAGTCCAGGATGACTCACCATACCCCCTCAATCAACTATCCAGGACGCTAATAGCTATGAATCCTGCTATTTGGCTCGCGGTTGGACCGCGAGCCAAACCTCTTTTTCCAATAGCTATCCAGGATGACTCAGTCCAGGATGACTCATCGCCTAAGGCTTTAATAAAAAGAAATGGACAAAGAGACATGGACCTGGTTGGCTTTAATAAAAAACAATTGACGCTTGACTTTGATAAAATAAGTGGATGCTTGGCTGTAACCCTTTATCTTGGTCTCAACAAGTCGATAATCACCATCTCAATAGAACCTGCAAAAAAGAAAAACGAAGAGGGAGTAGAAAAAAAAAATCAAATATGGTGGTTGTCGGAGATGTGATTGCAAGCAAAATCATTCAGAAGCTGGTGGAGGTTGGGTTTGACTACGCAGCAGACCAGTTTTTTTCTCGGCGAAGACGAATGAACGACGAGCTTCAAAGTCTCGAGGCTGCTCTTCCTCGTATCCAAGCTGTCGTAAACGCAGCGGAGAGCGGGCAAGGAGAAATAACCGGAGACCTCGACAAATGGCTATGGCAACTTAAGGGTGCTATCTACATGGCCAGTGACGTACTCGACGATCTCGATTATACTGACATACAGAAGCGAACAGAGGCGGATGCTGCAGGAAGAGGGCCTCGTGGCAGCAAGGTGAGTCGTTTTGTTTCCGATTCTAAACGAAGAGTTTCCAAGTTTAGTAAAAGAGCCTTTAAATCCGACCCCACCCTCGAGAAGCTAAGGGGGGCTGTCAAGAGGCTAAGTGAAGTGGCGGCAGGCGTTGAAGTTTTTAACCGTTTAGTAACAGAGCGTAACCAACAACAGCAGCAGCAACAACAGCAGCAAGAACAACTTCGTGAAACTGGACCTATTGTAAGGGAGAGAGATGTGCTGGGAAGGGATGGGGATAGGAAGGAAGTGTTACAGTGGTTGACGTGGGCGCCCATCGCTAATGAGGATCACGAGGGCATCTCTCTTTTCTCCATTGAGGGCCTCGGAGGAGTCGGAAAGACAACCCTTGCACAAGTCGTCTACGGGGATGACACCTTACAGAGTTCCTTTGGCATCAAAATTTGGGTGTGTGTCTCCACTCGCTTTGATGTTAAAAAGATTACGGGAGACATCCTAGAATGCGCTGCACAAAGGAGACCGGACGTTGGAGGACTTGGCCCACTACAGGAAGCTCTCGAGGCCTTGGTGTCATCTAAGAAATTTCTCCTCGTCTTGGATGACGTTTGGAATGGCGACGATCTCTCTAGTTGGCAGACGTTGTTTGCTCCGTTGAGGTGTGGACTTAAAGGAAGTAAAATCATTTTAACTACCAGATCGGAGAAGGTCGCCGAAATGGCTACACTAGCTTTGGGAAGGACGGCAAACGAGTCGATGAAGTTAAAACCCTTGGATGGTAATGACTTCTTATCACTTTTCAACCGATACGCATTTGCTGGAACAAATCCCCATAATCATGGGAAGCTGCAATCAATTGGCGAGCAAATAGCTGGAAGGCTTGGAGGCTTGCCGCTGGCTGCCAAGACGATTGGAGCGTTATTGCGTTCTAACTTGGATGACAGTCACTGGACGAATATTCTGCGATCTAGTCGTATATCAGATTACGGACCACAGAGAGATTGTGTGATGCCGGCTCTGATGTTGAGCTACTATTATTTACCGAAGCACCTAAGACCTTGTTTTGCATTTCTCAGCACCTTTCCTCAAGATCACCGTTTTTTCAAAGATGATCTAGTTTTAATGTGGATGGCGCTCGGCTTCATCCAACAATCTCCTCAGAATCCAGCACAAGCACCAGAGGATATTGGAAGCCTCTACTTTGATGAGTTAGCCAAACTGTCATTCCTTGAACCATTTCGTCAGCAAATCAAAAATCCCTTAACTCAAAGATTGGAAGAAGTTTACATCATGCATGATCTTTTGCATGATCTGTCAAGCAAAGTATCTCATGGTGAATGCTTTACATTTGTTGGAGATATGTCAATCAACGAGATCCCAAACACAGTACGTCATTTGTACTTTGAAACCGGTGATCTTGATCTTCTCAAAGATATGGACAAATGGAAGAACTTGCACACCCTGATTCTAAAATTCAATGGATACAATAATGAGCATGCCGCGGCTTTCCGACAAATGTTTGAATCACTAGAAAGCATTCGAGTGTTGCGCATCACTATTAAAGAAATGGAAGTGTTGCCGTGTGAAATAGGTAACTTGAGGCATCTCAGATATTTGTCAGTTCGTCATCGTTCTACTCGGTTGCCTAGTTCAATCTGCAAGCTTTACCACCTGCGGGTACTTGATTGTGGCAATATTGAAACTTCTCCAGTTTTGGTCTTGAATAACCTTATTAACTTGAGACATCTGCTGCCAAATCATATTCCCTGATGCAGCAGAGGAGTATGAAAAGGTGCTCGATTGCCTCCATCCGCCTGATAGCCTCAAGGAACTCCGAATTACACGGTACCGAGGTGCAAGGTCTCCATATTGGATGGAAAAAGGTTTGTTAAAAAATCTAGAGCGCGTTGTTCTTTACCAGAACACGGCATGGAAGCACCTTCCTTCTCTCGGGAAGCTTCCCTATCTCAATGAATTGAGATTGGATTCACTAACAGGACTTGAGCAAATTGGCTTTGAAGGTGGATTTCAGCAACTGAAGATTTTAGAAATCGAAGATTGTGATCAATTGGAAGAGTGGTCCGGATTTGGAGCAGAGACGGCACCTTGCTGGCCTCTCCTTGAAAAACTCGAAATCTCGGGGTGTCCCAAACTGAAGGCACTGCCTCCTCTGCCCCTAAGTCTACAGAGCTTGACGTTACTGGATGTGGGATTGTCCGATTCTCCAACATTCTTCCCGGCTACTCCATCCTCGTCCTCCTCCTCTCCTTCCCTCACCCACATGGAGATTGCAAGATGTGGAAATTTAACATCAGTGGCCGGCTTGCTGCGGCATCGCCTCACCGCCCTCAGGACGTTGGAGATTAGGCGTTGCGAAGCTCTTGCGGATCAGCACGCAGAGGAAGGCTTTCAGCATCTGCACTCCATCGAAAGCCTAGCGATTGAATATTGCCCAAAGCTGAAGATGGCTACCGACGCGGTCGCCCTTACTTCTCTTTCTGAACTTAGACTGTCAGGTTGGAACCACATAACATCCTTTCCCTCCAAAGAGGCGTGCAGAAGATTAACGTCACTAAAAGAGCTGACATTGGGAGACATGGGAGGGCTGATGTCAGTTGAGGGTCTAAAGGCTCTTTCCCACCTTGCTTGGCTACGGATTGAGAAGTGTCCCAAGCTCGTGCAAGCAGCAACAGCGTCAATTAAGGGGAAGGAGGAGGAGGAGGAGGAGTTCGTCCCTGCGATGGCCCCTTGCTGCCATTGATGACCCCTTGCTGCTCCACGTTGAACCATTGAGAAAACTCACGTCTGTCACACGTCTATGGATTGACTGTGGGAATCTGGAGAGCGAGGGAGACATCAACCCGTGGTTGTTGCGCAACGGAACTTCGCTCTTATTCATCCAACTGGGAAAGTACAGTACTGCAAAGTCGCTGCCTCGTAGCCTCCAAGCCCTCTCTTCCCTGGACTCTTTAGAAATCACTGAAGCTTATCAGCTCCAATCGCTGCCGCGGATGCCTTCGTTGAGATCTATGGCTGCAACGAGACGCTGAAGGAGCGGTGCGCGGAGGACGAAGGCGCCGATTGGCCCAACATTAAACACATCCCTAATATTGTTGTCTCACCGCAAAGAAAATGAGAGGTGTGTACACTTTTTTGTCTTTTTCTTTTGTTTGTTTGCTTTTGTGCTCCTAGGAAAGCATCTGCCGCTACGCTTGAAATAGGGGACAAGACTTGATGTTGAGCGTCCAGGGTAAAATTTATCCTTTTAGATTTTTTTTTTTAAAGGTTCCTGATGTTATGAGCACTTGCTAGGGTTTTATGTTATTTTTGTTGCTGCTGTTGCGCAATAATATGTCTAGCTCTAATCTTATGTATGTCTGGCTCTTAATTCATGAGTTCTTTATTTATCAAACTTCAGTTTTGTACGTGTTGAGCCACAAGTATTCACAGCTAACATAACGTAGAAGCTGCTCGACGAGACTGTTTACAAGATTTTCATGCTGCTCTTCATTTCTTACATAGACTTCTCAGAAGAAGGCAGGTCTTCTTTGAGTCGGGCTATAATTTGATTTTGCGTCTGTTTTATGCGAGCTTCTTTAGCCGGTGCAGCTATTTCCTTTTCCCTTACCATGCATGAAGTTGGGCTTCTCATATCACAAACAAAAGGTGAAGTTTATGATAAATCTACTCCTTATTTTGCATAATAGAGTTCCTAAGATGAAGGGCGAATTTCGTCGGTTAATTGCCTTTTTGTTCTGGTGATATGCAGTTCTGCCTTCAAACTTCTTCATATGCCAATTCAGAGAGAAGATATGAGAGTAGAAGTTTGAATCTTTATGTGCAAACTTCTTTATTTGCCTCCCCGTTTAAGAAGCTAAATGAATATTGAGGTATTTATATATTTATTCGTCTAAAATTTCAAGTCTAAATCTTTTAATTTCTTCTTTGTGTCAGAATTTGAATGTAAAGGTTCGCTTCCTGAGTCTACTACATATATAGGTTGAATTTCCCCTTTAGGTCACTACTTGATTGCCTCTTCGTTTGATGCTTTTTGCGTTAATGCAAGGCTATTAATGGCGTTATACAATCCAAGAATGCATTGATTTTCAATTCGTCGTCTACTCATCTTGACTGTAAATCACAATAAAGTCCTTTATGTTTGATGCTTGTTGCGTTAATGCAAGGTTCTTACTGGATTTTTTTTCTAGTTTCATATTAATTATAACTGAAGGGTAGAGGGGATGGCTTGTGATTCGGGGTATAAATATTGACACTGTTCTTTAAGGTTTTGAAGGTTACATATGCAAGTAACATATTTATTAAAGTGGTTGATATAGGTAAATTCCTATTTGGAAGATTACAATCTTTAAAAACCAAGTATAATTGGTTCTTCAGCTCGCACTTTTCTGTTAATACTTTGAACAAAGTAATTTATGCACTGAATAAGTCAAGTTAGGTGCGGCTCCTATGACCAATTTTTCCTTGGTAATTATGAAAAAAAAATAACTTTTAAGAATGTCAACTAACAGCAATACTTAAGATGAATATCATGACAGATCATTTTATATCTCATATATATAGATACTGCTCTCACTAAGTGTCTTTCAAAATTTGGCTTTGTCACTAATGGAGCTCATGAAGCTACTGCTCAAAGCAAAGTTCTCAATTACAGCTGTATATTTAATCAACCGTCTACCCACCCTAATACTTGATGACAACTCTCCGTTTGAAACACCTTTTCATGATCAACTGAACTGTCACAAACTAAGAATATTTGGTTGCATTTGCTTTCCTTGGCTCCCGCCATATAATGTTCATAAACTTCTTCCTCACTTATGCTCATGTGTTTCCTTAGATATTTCAAATCTCAAAGTGCATATATCAAATCTCAAAGTGCTTATATTTGTTATGATCCCGCAAATCATAAATTTTATAGCTCTCTGTGTGTAATCTTTCACGAATCAAACTTTCTCTATGCTACTCAAACCCCTAATCTACTGCGTGTCACAAGCTCTTCAAGCTCATCATGGTGTCCTGCAATGTCTGATATTGCTCCAGCAATATTCAATTCTCCTCCATTGCCCCTAATCGTAAATTTTTTTTGCAGGTTGATATGGTAAAAAGGAGTCAGTATACATTTTTAGGAGTATTAAAACTTTCAGCCTATGTAGCCATGTAAAATAACAAACGAACTTTCATATTTAGTTCCTGTGGAGTACTGCTTATGCTATGACTGAATGGCCTCGGTCCCTCTAGACCTCAAGACTTCAAGGTGGTTCGATAACCAATACTATCTCAACTTGCTTAGCAGCCTCGGCTTGCTTCAGAGTGATGAACCACTTGTTTCCGAGAGTGTAGAAGAGAGTGTTATAGAGTTAGTTTGGGCTTATGCTCAGGTTTGGGAGCTTTTCTTTAGGGATTTTGCTAAATCTATGATAAAGATGGAGAATATTAATGTGCTTGCTGGAAGTGATGGGCAAACTAGAGAGAACCATTGTTATTTCAATGTTTAGATGGAGAGTCAGTGAACAAGATCAAGTTTTATTTGCTTGTTTAGGATGCGTTTTTGTCTAGAATGATGTAATGCTGGTAATGAAACTGATGGAAGTATTGAGATGTTGCATATTTTGTCAGGAGCAAATTTTCTATTATCTTCATCACTTGACTTTTTTGTTTGTTCCATGTGACATGAGAGTGGAAGTTTGAATCTTTATGTGCAAACTTCCTTATTTGCCTCCCTGTTTAAGAAGCTAAATGAATATTGAGGTATTTATATATTTATTCGTCTAAAATTTCAAGTCTGAATCTTTTAATTTCTTCTTTGTGTAAGAATTTGAATGTAAATCATAGGGAGACTATATGGTTAGCCAGCATACGAAGGACCTCCATTGTCCCTTGAATACAGAAGTTATAAATTCTGAAGATCTTTGCAGTCAATATGCCCAACAAATGGGAGAGACAATGCCTCGGTCCCTCTAGACCTCAAGACTTCAAGGTGGTTCGATAACCAATACTATCTCAACTTGCTTAGCAGCCTCGTAATGCAAGGTTCTTACTGGATTTTTTTTCTAGTTTCATATTAATTATAACTGAAGGGTAGAGGGGATGTCTTGAGATTCAGGGTATAAATATTGACACTGTTCTTTAAGGGTTTGAAGGTTACATATGCAAGTAACATATTTATTAAAGTGGTTGATATAGGTAAATTCCTATTTGGAAGATTACAATCTTTAAAAACCAAGTATAATTGGTTCTTCAGCTCGCACTTTTCTGTTAATACTTTGAACAAAGTAATTTATGCACTGAATAAGTCAAGTTAGGTGCGGCTCCTATGACCAATTTTTCCTTGGTAATTATGAAAAAAATGACTTTAAGAATGTCAATTAACAGCAATACTTAAGATGAATATTATGACAGATCATTTTATATCTCATATTCCATCCATCCTCCAATGTATTGTTTGCCTAGAATAAATACGAAAACACAAACACTAGACAAACAATATTAGTTGTAAATTATTTGTTTATTGTTTGCCTAGAATAAATACGAAAACACAAACACTAGACAAACAATATTAGTTGTAAATTATTTGTTAAAACATCATCAAAACACACTAGACAAACAATATTAGTTGTAAATTATTTGTTAAAACATCATCAAAACAAAAAGGCCAACACCTATAACAGCATCTCTATCCACTTTGAGGCCAAGTAATACCCTTACATCCTGCAGAGTAATAGTTGACTCTCCTTGATGCATGTAGAATGTATTTGTCTCTGGCCTCCATCGTTCAATCAATGCCGTCAAGAGAGGTCAATCGAGTCTTACCCATTTTATTTGTGAAGATTTTAAAAAAACCTGCTTGACGAACATAATATTAGGCCTGTGAATCTGTCAAACCCCAACTCAAATGTGCACGAGTATGATCAACAATAGTAGTACTCGGGCCTTGCATATATTAAACAGTTTAAATGATCACATAATAGTAATAACATTGAAAATTTAAAATGATTAAAAATAATATTTTTGTCATCGCAATTCTCCTTGAATTCCATGCTTTACTATATGATATTTCAATGAACCTCGTATCTAGCACTCTATCAATTATATGACCAGAAGTTAGTTTAAGATTCTTCTTTAATTTTGGCATAATTAGTCGCACTATGTAAGAGGCAGATGCACCACTATGATCTTGCTCTAATAACGAATTGCTACATATGTGAACACCGTATTCTGTGATCCTAAAATGCCCATTGTGTTTCTTTCCGGCAAATGCATATGACTTCCAAGGACATGCGTAATCAGCTTCATTTCTCTCAACCTGACCTTTTCTTTCTGTATTCATAAAACAAATTGCATCAGAACTTGTGCAATTGCTTTTAACTTGCTTGAATATGACATTCTTTTTGATAGAGTAATCACGAATAGTATCAACCAATTAGTCCTTATTCTCGAATAAATCTCCAACTTTAAAAGTGAAGTCCTCATCTCTTCTACCAGTTGAACTTTGGTTGATGCCAATATCTTGTACTATGGAAGAACGAATCAACTCATCATCTTCAAACTCGTCGGGAGGTGGCTCTTCGTACTCAACATATTTATTATCAACATAAGTCTCATCAGACCATTCTAGATTCTCTTCAACATCTTCAATCACAAATTACATGTTGTCAATTGATGCACTATCTTGTTCTTCACTTTCAGAGTCATTGTTTCTTTCATCCTCTTCAGTCATTGCCCCTCTTAATGGCCTCATATTTTCATAAGGGACTTCATTGTTCATAATATTTGACGTTCCCCCAAATGAGGTGCACTTAGATATTGAAATTGAGTCTGCTCCATTTCACTCGAAGAAGAAAGAAAACTGTCAGACTCAACTCCCAAATCTAACATGCATGAGAATTCTCCTGGAGGTTTGAACATTCGGCACGAACTACATGGAAACTTTTTAATAAACAATCCTACTGTTGGTTGTGACTTGCTCAAAGCAAACATAATACTCATATGATGATCATTTGAGATCTCAACTTCGGACGTTCTATCAAAAATTATGGGCCAATTGCATATTATTTTTTGTCAGTACTTTCGTGGATCAATTTCAGTAACTCGGTGTAATTCCTTAATTAAGTTATAGTAACTACATAATTCTAAGATCATTAACAGTGTCGTTACCCCTCCAACGTATGTTGGCATATTATTTATTCTATAATTAATTTTCCCACCATAAGAGCAAGCAATAAAAACCATATTGTTCAACCTATGGAAAAAAAATTAGATTATGTCATTTAAATGCAAAAAAATTAAAAAAAGTTATCAGGCCATTGAATAAGAGAGGAAAACCCTAGATGCAAATAATATCATTATCATATAACTATAAATCCACACACAAAGAATTTGAAACACCACAAAGATAGTGATTGATATTAAAATTCAAACCCTAGAAATTAGATTTTGATATAAACCCTAGATTTGAATGTTGAAGAAGAGAGGAAAATCCTAGATTTTCAAATGTTAAAAGAGAGAGAACGAAGAGAAATTACCCTAGACGTCTTTTGCAAACTTCCTCATTGAATTTCAGCCACAAAAATGGGGTTAGGAGACTCGAGTAGGCGAATGAGAATGAGAGGCCGGAGTTAAAGAGAGAGAAAAAATCAATACTGTGAGGGAAGAGGGGATCACTTGGTATATATAAGTGGTAGGGCCCCACCATAAATAGTTGGGGTTGGGAACCCCGACTATTTTGCCCCTTAGTCGATTCCCCGTTTTTGAGCAAGGCGGAGAGTCTGCCAAATGATCGGGGTTGTCAACCCTGATCATTTTGGTTTAGGTCTGCCAAATGATCGGAATTGGAAATCTCAACCATTTGGTTGATATCTTCGTAGTTGTTGGC